TGAATGTCATACTTGTGCCCGGGTTTAAACATCGAATTTGTTTTCCTTTTTCAGAATATAAAATAGTTTTTTTTTCTAATTTGTTTTAGCATGTTGTAAACTCTGTTTATTTTCAAAATATCATTCTTAAGAATATGTGAGACTTATTATTCAGGGATTTCATTTAGAATTTTGTGCTCTTGGGAATAGGGAGGGATGTGGTTAGGCTGCCCTATGGTAAATAAAGTGGATAAGATATATAAACATTATTACTTTAAAAATGTATTGATTGATTGCTTCTAAACAGAAAGTTTAAGCAAACACTGTTAATTGTGGGTTTATTCCTGTGTGTTACTGCTTGATTCTAAACTTATTGTGGATTTGATACATTTTTAATTTCATCAAGAACAATGAGTAACGATAAAGGTAAAGCGCATTGGGATGTAAGCACTACTGGTGTTTTTCTCAAAATATGCATGGACACAATTTATAGCAAACATCGTCAAGGATCCTCGTTTACAAAGCAAGGCTGGGACATCATTCACAAAACATTCAATGAAAAGACAGGGAGAGGATATGAGAAAAGACAGCTGAAAAATAGGTTGGATAACTTGAGAAAAGAGTGGAAGGCATTTGAGCAGCTAATTGGTAAGGAGACCGGTATAGGGTGGGACCCTGAAAGGAACACAGTGGTGGCATCTGATGAGTGGTGGGAGAGAAAGAAGCGGGTATGAACTAGCTTCTGTTAATTTTTAAGCAGTTAATGACTTTTGAAAATAATTTAACTTTTGTTTACTTTTGGCTTTGCAGGAAAATCCAGCATACGAAAAGTTTAGGCATCATGGGTTAAAATTCCGGACTGAATTAGAAACTCTATTCAAGGGCACTATGGCATCAGGACAGGATATGTGGTCACCTTCTTCGACCCCTGAGCCACCTGAGCCACAGAGGGCTGATCAGCCAAATGATTACCGACCCACAATGGATTGGAAAGAAGGTTCAGGGGACAGTGAAGACGGGCTAATAGGTGTTGACACTGGACGCCGTGCAGGAGTTTCGGATGATTTGGACGGTATCAATTTAACTGCAAATACATCAAACACTGCACCCAATATACCTAGTGGTTCAGGGAGCCAAGGAAAGAGGAAGAGAGGTGGAGGGTTGGATAAGTACAAGAAGCAAAAAATGCCAGCGACAAAAAGAATAGCAGATGCAGTAAGCTCGATTAAGAAGGCTTCCATTAGTACAGCAACGGCAATAAACAAAATCTCCAATAGTGATAACACTACTGAGTTGACTGCTGATTTGCTGAGTATGGAGGAAATTGTCAGTGACACTCATCTTTGTGTCATGTGTTGTAATCTGCTGGCAAACAAGACTTTCAGGGACATATATGCTGGTCTGAGAGAAAATCGGAAGGTATTAGTGGCTTGGTTGAAGCACAATGCTGAAAATCCACCGTCATATGCTGCACCTAAGAATCCTTGAGTTGTGCCAGGGGACTTGTTATGACTTCTGTTTTTCTACCTTAATGTTGTATTATGTGTTATGTGTTATGACGATGTATTTAATGACTAGGTTTAATGTTGTGTGTTTCGTGACTATGTTTAATGACTAAGTTTAATGTTGTATGTTTCATGACTATGTTTAATTATTATGTTAAAGTTTAATGATAATTTGTGTATTATCTTTTCTTTTCTTTTCTTTTTTGTGAAAATTTTTACTTACCTTTAGTATTTATCTATTCACAGGTAACACACATTTATTATGTCTGATTCAACGGAGGTTGGGGCGAGGGTGGGAGGATGATGGGGGAGACGAATGGTCTCAATTAGTTTCCGCTTTACATGAACACACAACACAATTATCAGAGCTAAGTGTGTTAATGGGTCAGTATGTGACACCTTTTCTGTGCAAACAGCCATGTAGAACTAGTGAACAAATGGTTATTTGTGGGTTTGAGAAGTTTTAGACGGGCATGAAGGACGGTCTAAGGATATGTTTCGAATGGACATAGAGACATTCCATCAGTTATGTTCTAAATTGGTTGAACATGGGTTACAAAATACTAAGTACATAGGTGTCCATGAATCTGTTGCCATGTTCTTAAATACAATTGCGCATGGCCAGTGTAATAGGATGATTCAGGAAAGGTTTCAGCGTTCAGGAGAAACTGTCAGTCGGCATTTTCATAGAGTGTTGGCTGCTTGCCTCAATTTATCTCGAGAAAATATTAGGCCAACTGATCCTACATTTTCCTATTGTCATCCAAAAATAGCAAATGATCCACGATACTTTTTATTTTTTAGGGATGCAGTTGGAGCAATTGATGGTACCCACATAAATTGTAAGGTTAGTCAAGCTAGGCAAGACAAATATATCAATAGGAAGGGATTTTCTAGTCAAAATGTCATGGCCGTATGTGATTGGATATGTGCTTCACATTCGTGTTGGCGGGCTGGGAAGGTAGTGCATGATGCTCGTGTCTTTCATTCTGCTATCTCAACTCCATCCATGAATTTCCCTCATCCACCTGAAGGTATATTTCTTTAATTTCCAAATTAATTATTTTTAATTCAGCTTCACTTGTATTATTTTCACCTTAACATAATTGAGTCATGATTTTTTAGAAAAATATTATTTGGTTGATGTTGGTTATCCATCACAAGTGAGATACCTTGGCCCGTACAGACGTGAGCGCTATCATCTCCCAGACTTTAATCGTCACCCAGGATTTACAAATTAGAATGAGGCCTTCAATTATTATCATTCAAGTTTGAGATCCACTATTGAAAGAACTTTTGGGGTGTGGAAGAAAAGGTTTGTAATCTTAAAAATATGCCCAGATTCAAGTTTCAAACACAGGTCTACATAGTTTGTGCAACAATGGCTGTCCATAATTTTATCAGGCAAAATTCTCCAACTGATTATCGCTTTATAGAAGCTGAACATGGAAGTGTAATAGATGAAGACAATAATCATGCAGCTGGTGAGGCATCCTCGTCAAGTTTAACATCTGCCGCACAAATGAATCGTGTTCGTGACTCAATTAGGGACCAAATGTGCAAAGCTTACTATCTAATTAATTATGTGATTTCATTTACTTTAATTAGAGACCAAATGAATTTTAATTTATATTCATGTTTGTCCATTATGTATATTTAATTAATTATCTATAATGTGTTTTTAAATTTTTCTCCGTAATAAATATTTTTATTTCATAATTTCACAAATAAACTATTTATATTTTATCATAATAATTTTATATATTTTTTAAACTATTATCAAATTAAAAACATGAAATTTCAAAAACTACTATTCAATAAAGTCCATGCCATTTTCAGTCATTTTACAACTAAACTAACTTTTCTATTAATCATCAAACAACTTTCAATTTTTCAACTGACTTTTTAAAATACCTATCCAAACATACTCTAACTGACTTTTACTCTAACTTCAGTTACAAAAGTCAGTTGAACTAAAAGTCAGTTTTGTCCAACACCAATCCTAACATACCCATACTGGCTCTCCGTTTGGCTGAAAACCAAAAGCTAACTGGAAAGGAAAAAAAAAAAATCTATTCCACCCTCTCGACAATCGACTCTCTCCCGCGTCTTCCTCGCTTCTCGCCTTCGTGCCTTTCAGCGTCGTCTTCGTCTTCGCGCTTCTCACCTGACCGGGCTTTCCATTTCCTCGGCGCTCTAAACCACCTTGTCTTCTCACTCCTCCGAGCCCAACCTTTGAACGATACCTTCACCAGCGCTGGCCAGCATCAGTCTTCGGCTCCTCGTTTCCCTTCACCCCGTCTGCTATCTGTCGACCCCTTTGCTCTCGCCGTCGGCTCAGTTATCTCTTCATCAAGGTCAGTGTTTTGCTCTCTGTTCACCCCTTCCGCTAATCCCTTCGAGCTCTTCAACGCTTCTATATCAATTGCGAAAATTGTCTTTTGTTCGTCCTTTTGGGGTTGTTGTCTGGGGTGGGGGTGATGCTGCATCTGATTCCAGCTCATGCACGAATGCCACATGCGCCTTTTTCCTATCTTTTGTGACTTGTGAATTAGGTTGTCTTTGATATTAACTACTGGGCAGAAAGTAGTTGGACTACTGCGTTTATTTTCGTAGTTTTTCATAATCTATTAAACCATATAACTCGCCTATGATGCTGAGAAAATGTTAGGCGTCTATAATTAGAATCTGAAATAGTTTGATCGCAGTAACTGACTTTAGTTAGTTATAAGGCTTATATGGATGTTTACTCAGATGAAAGAGTAGTTATGACAGTTGGTATGATCTGAGCTTGTCTTTTTTCTGTATTCTTCTCTTCTATTTCCCTTTTTCTTATCAAAGATGAACACACAAAAAATCTAACTTGGCCTCAAATTTGGGAAAGATATCCGAAGCAACCCATCAAGGAGGTGTTTGTTCTGGAATTTATTTGAGTGCTGAAAATGAGCTGAGAAGAAGTGGTAATCAAGCTTGAGGCAATTCTTGGAAAACCTGACGGGTGACGCTTGGACCCGATTATGAGGAAGACTGATCTTGTTCTGCCAGCCGACCGCTTTTATGGTTCTTTATTTCTATGGAATTCTTGGAAACAGGATGGATTTAATCTCTTCATATCTAAAAACATACATAGTTGCCAATTCCACAATACAAGACTTTCAATACCTAGCATTTAATTGGTCTGCCCTGGCTTGAATATCTTTCAACACTGCCAATCACTTTTGATAAGCCTTATATATAAATATCTATATTTTGAGCCAGGGATCCATAAATTGGTCAGCTTGTGTTTGAAAACACTAGTGCCATAGGCGGAAGTTGGCTTGCCCAATATCTTAGTATTCCCTTTCACACTGATGCAGTTTTTTGATTCAATGGAGAGGATGGGAGGAGGGGATTTTAATGTTCTTGTTCAGCTTGGAAGGGTGGTGACATGGTTTTCTACCCCATTTAACATGGGCTTTGATGCCCTCTAGCAGGTATGTAGGTCTTAGATCACTTTCCTAAGCCAAGTCTGTTTGTCCTGTAAATACTTATTTTTTTTATTTTTATTTAATTAATTTCTTTCTTTTCTCTTCTTTCTATTCTGCATGTGTTGTGATTAGGATAATTAAAATTAAATTGAGGACATATTAATTTTGAGTAGTAGACTTCAAGTTATCACAAGTTTTGTGTGATGTTAGCATCTTCTCCATGCACAATTAACTCCCAAACACATCTCTTATTTGCAAACCGCATTTTCATTTTCTTTGGAAAAGGTCCTTTTCCCCCTAAGCTTCTCTTGAAATATTAAAATTTTGGCGCTGTCTCAAAGAAATTGGTTTTCAAAATTATTATCAGGAATAAATTTATTTTTCTTATTTTTCACCGCCTCTATGCTACATAAGAAGGTCTGTTCATAGTTAAGTTGAAGTGATGTTGTTAACCTAACTTTGATTTGGCACGGGTCTTTGCAATAGAGGGCATGCTCATATTTCATGAAAGTTTGGGACGTGATCTTCTATAGAATGCTCATTTGCTATTGAGCAAGTTTGAAAACCCTTTAACTATCCCTTTTTGGTTTCTTGTTCATGTTCTGGTTGATTGTAGTGTCTTCTATACTTAGTCTATTCTTTTCCTGCCACTTTATATAGAGCACTGCAAATTTTGGCCTTCATTTTTAACAAATAGAAGGCATTTTTTTTTCAGGCGCAAATTATGAATCTCACTTCATTCAAATTGGACATTGATGAGCTTATTGATGAATTTACTCAGGTTTTTCTATTGTCTTTTTCCCAGTCATGCCAGCTACTTATAATGTTTTGGACCTTGTGATCTCTCCCATGATTTTTAATCAATTTTTATTGCATACAAACATGGTGTATGACAGGGTGGATCAACAGCTTTTGCTAACATGAAGAGAGTATGGCTTTCGAAGAAGTTCTCTTACATTTATGAAGCTAGTCCTTCTACCAACCTGGCCTTCTTTATGCAATCTCTGTATGCCCATTCTATTGGTATATTTGTATCCTATAAACTCTTGCAGCAGCAAATTGTTACGCTGTGGAAACTGGAAAAAGCAAGCCAATCACCTGGTTTATCAAATTTACCACACACCAATGATGTTGATTTTCATTTTGAATCTTTATTCTTTGTTAAATTCCGTTGCCACAAATCATTAAATTTAAAAAGCAGAGAGAAAAGAATGTAGACTTAATAATTCATTTCATAATTTATCACTGAAATTTCACTAGTTACTAGTAAATAATGTTTGCAAGTTCAAGTATGTTTGTACTTCCTCTGTCCCTATTTACTTGTTATCATAGGAGAAAAGACACAGATCAAGGAGAAAGCAAAATTTTTGTTATGTAAGAATTATTTTTTCTTTTCCAGTTTTGCCCTCCATTTGATGCCACGCTATTTTAAAATCTTAACTATATACATTGAATGCCCTCCATCTAACAGGGTTATTATTGGAAACAAGTATGATTATTCCTTGAAATTTGAAGCATGACATATATTTAGGGACAAAGTGAAAATTCAAATCAGGACAAGTAAATAGGGACAGAGGAAGTTGTACTTAGTTCTCTTTAACGTTTTACTTTGTCATGTTCAATTTTTTGATCCTATGCAGGTTACATGGTTGGCACTGCCTCCTTTTTGCACAGATTGGGTGGCCTCTATTGCCTCTACTGTTTATATGAGACTCAACCATTTAAACCTCCTTTCAGAGTTTATCTATCCCTTGGTATGATCAATTTTTCTCTGAATGACTGAAGTGATACATTCTTTAACCTTTTCATTATCTACTTATCTTTTAGTGTTGGCTCCCCTCTTGCATCTGCATCTGTCTAGGCAGATGCTAGCAATTTAAGATGATACATGTTATGATGCATGACAGTTCTGAAGATTTACTTTTTTGGGTCTTATGAAGCATATATTCTTGAGTATAATTATTAACATTAACTACCAGCTTTATTTTTACGTTTCGTGGCAGCCCAAGTTATAGGTGGTCATACTTGAGATTCCAGTAATACTTTCAAATTAATTTTTGAACAACCGACAGTCAGTTTTTCTATATTACTGTTCAAATTGAATCAAACATATCTTGACATGAGTATAGAAAATTTGACTCCAAATAAGATGCAATGACATTAAGAAACTGGGTCCTAAGTTTTGCATATTGGGTTCATACCTCTGGCCTGTCTGCTAGTTTCTATGTTGACCTGATATCTCCCTTTCCTTTACAGGGGAGTTAAGGAAGCTTAGACTCCTTGTTGCCGAGGCAAATGCAAGTGATATTAAAGTCGTACCTACTTTGGTTAGAAGAATGCTAGAAAACAATATGTTCCTTTTTGGCGCTGTTGACTTAATGGAAGGCTCTGTTGCAGAGACAGTAAACCAACTCGAACAATTACAGAATGCTCGTATACAAGTTGCATATGAGAAGTATTGCTTAAATTTATGATTCTTTCTGTCACATTAGTCATGGTTGTGTAACTACCTCTACAACTTAATTATTTTCTGCTTTCGTTGTGGATGACAGGTTATTTGAAAATACTCCGATTGAGCAATACATTCACATGGACCTTGTAAGTAGCACTGAGATTGCACCTTGTGATGTGCTAATCAAATAAATCTGTACGAGTTGTCTGCGAAACATGTATCAAGTAGTTGAGTAATAATGACTGGGGGCACTTCTAGGAGATGAAAGAATGTTAGAAATTCATATTAACTACCACATCACCCGTGCATGATTTGTTTAGGCTCTATATTTTCGAAGAGCCCCACCAGAAATGGAGCCCTTAGGCGAGCAAGATTTGCTGGGGCTTGAGTCCCCTTTAGCTATCTAATCTGGGCTTAGCCCATCTTGTGTCATCCAAAAAATATTCAAAAACTTAGAGGTGTATTTTTATGTACTTGTGTACTTGGATTGATGTGTATCTAATGTACATCTTTTTCAATTTTGCTTTCCTCATTCAAGGGCACGGAGATTGACTTAAATTCGCTGAAGAAAATGTCATCTGAATATGCAGAGGCAAAGAGCATGGCCATTAAAGGTACTTTAATTTTTCCTATGATACTTTCCCGTGTTTGTCTTTGCCTAGGTGTCCATGTAGATAACCTTGGAGGTACTCTTATTGTCAGGATCTTATGAATCCCCTAAGAAACTACTTTCTGTTATGTGCTGTCAGTTTCTGTTGACATTCATGAATGCCGATAATGAAGATGAACAAGTTTGAGATTGACGTATACGTGGATGAACCACCATGTTATGCCTTCTCAGTTGGCGGAATGCACATTTCGAAACTTCTAAAGACTATTCCAGAAATGACTTGTGATTAATTCGTACCATCAAGATTCAAGATTCTCAAAATGAGATTTACTGCATTTATTTAATTTTTTAATGATCTACAATAGGATGACTAAACTCGTGCTGATGCAGTATGATTGTCCGTATATTTGTAGAGTTTGTATTGGTTTATTTTTCCTTTCTTCCCTTTCTGTAAAGATTGCATTTTTTTCCCCAGTTCACGCAATATTTTCAGTAATTTAACTCGTAAATGGATTGTCTTCTATTTTCATGAAGAAGCAAGCAATGATATAGATGTGGAGAACATAAAGCACATATCAGAAAATAAGGAACTTCTAGGAGATGCTGCAGAAAAGATTGCTGATGATTGGCAAGCCCAGAAAGAAAGCTTCTGTAAACAAACAGGATTCGAGAATGATAAAGGATTTGAGCAGGAGCTGGAACAGCAGCTTCTAGAACATGAGAACAATGGTGAGTTTAGTCAGGATGACAGACAAGTGTCCGAATCTTGATTTCAAGGGCTTACGTTTATTCTCAGTCCATGGATTTTTCACAATCTCTTGTGTGAGATTTGTAAATGTCTAGAAGGTTATCCATAGCTCAAAATTTTGTTGGCTTAATTAGGATTTGTAAATTGTAACGTCATCTTCTACAGAAAGATCCAAAATTTGGGCTTGGTGCAGTGTCATTGAAACGTTTGTATGCCGGGAGCGCCTTCATCTGCTCTATAATCTTAGTAGTAACTGCTCCACTAGCCCAAAATTCCTCCGGGTGGTGTTGGCATGTGAGAATCTGAATTTCTTCAAGAATTTGTAAGTTTAATTATAAATTAATTTTTTTGGTCCTTCCTGTTGGTGCCTTTTCTTTCCCTTGTAGTCTACTAGTATTTTTTTTTTCAAAATAAGATAGTTGTTCATTTAGAAAATTTCAAAAAAGAAGGAGGAGGAGGAGGCAAACTGCTGCTCTAGATCGGGTTACGTGGTATTTGCAAATGCACATTGCATACATGTTATGCAATGGTTACAACTCATTTATTGAACCCCTCTTATCGTTCCAAATAGGGGTGGAAACAGGCCAGGCCAGGCCAGGCTTTGCTCTTAACAGGCCAGGCCTGTTTTGAAGCCTATTGGCCTGAGCCTGGCCTGTGGCCTGTTACAGGCTTACTTTTCAGCCTGAACCTGGCCTGTATAAAGGCCTGGCCTGGCCTGAAACCTGTTAAAATACCTGTATTTTTAAAAAATTCAAATTATAATAATTTATTTTTTAAAAAAAGTTAAGATAAAAAAAAACGTACATAATAATTTAATTTTTAGTCTTGTCTTTTATTTAAATTTTAGTATCATAAGTACTATTTTAAATCTTAATTATAATTTATAAGAATATTATTAAAAACTAATTGTAATTATATGTTAAAATTTGGAATAAGACTACGTTTAAGTACACACAAAAAATTAAAATTAAGACAAATAAATAAAGAGGAAAAAAATACTAATTTTATAATGAATAAGAGGGTATCATACTTAAATTAACATAATACGTAAGTTAGTTAATTTATCATTCTTGGAACAAAATTTTTCTTTCCTATTTTCTTTATATTTTTAAGATTTAAAAATCACATTATTTATTGATATTATTATTTTAAATTATATTTTTATCTTCACTTGTCATCTAAACTTCAAAATCTAAGAAAAGATCAAGCTATTAACTATATATTAAAATTAAAAAATAAATTAAAAGAGCACATTAACAATAATAGCATTAATTAATTTTTTTATATATTATGATTATAAATTCCTGACATGCCCAGGCCGGCCTAACAGGCTTAACAGGTTTTTTAAAAAGCCTAAGCCTGGCCTATTTAACTAAACAGGCCTTCAAACAGGCCTGAGCCTGTCTTTTTTGAAAAAAGCCAGGCCAGGCCAGGCCAAATGCAGGCCAGGCCAAATGCAGGCCAGGCTATAGGCCCTGACAGGCCGCCTGGCCTATTTCCACCCCTAGTTCCAAAGCACTGCATTCTGTAATGTAACAGAACATTCAGAGGAAGGTGATGAGAAGCAAATCTCCCTGACACCACCAATTCTCCCCAACCTGCCTTATAACTAATAACATTCGAGATCTCATAGCTCAACCTCAACAATGTGAACTTTCTGTCCTTCCTCTGGCATATGATCTAAATTGAGAATCATTAGCCCAGAATCTGAGTTATAATCAAAATCCACCACCTTAGAACCCACCAAGCACCTTCTTGGTTTGGCCGATGAATAAGCACCAAACTTCCCACATCCCTTTACTTCCATACGCACCAAAGCCTCCAATCCGTCACTCCTAATTTCATCCCTTCCACCTTTTGCCTCGTACACAAGCCTTTCAATGGCGCCGCCTGCATTGTACATCTCGATGAGTCCCACCGGAGCAAAACTCACTCCAGAACCCAGAACCTTCACGGGGGTCACCGTAAAAACATCATGCTCCAGCACTCTAAGGGACACCGGCATCGCCACGTTGTATGGGAGAATCACAAGCTCGCCGGTCCGGTGACAGTACACGGCACAATCGCCGTTCCACTCACCGTCAACGCTGGCAGCCGCCTCCGAAATGTGGTGGACATCACGGCCTCTCACGTACCCTGTTATGGCTTCTGATGTGGTTTCGTGAAAAGCGTTCTTCCTCTCTAAGCTACTCCACGCCGCTCCTTGGCAATTGTAGACGCCAATAACTCCTGTGTACTTGTTCATATTCCATATCTTCAACAAGCTCACGCCATCCCGAGTCGGGTCTCTGAACAAGCAATCTTTGGTGGGTCTACCGGGCAAACGCGCTCGGAGTACTGACCCGTCCGGCAAGACGAGCTTCCTCAGGAGCTGGAAGTCGTGCTTCCCCGGCGCATCACTGACGTAGATAGGGCCACCGCTGATGGCTCTGGCGGAGGCGTGGTACTCGGCAGCAGGATGAAGAGAGTGAAACATGTCCCAGTCCGGCTGCATTATCTCTCCGAGGAAAACGCTGTTGTATGCCACGGCGGCGATGTGGATCGTGTGCGACACCGGATCACGCGGGTAGAAATCGTCCGACGCTCTCACCACCGCCGTTTGCTTTGAGCTGTTCATAACATTCCATACACCACAGCCCATCAGACAACAATAATCAGAGACTCGTTTTTAAGTATCTAATTCTTTCTTAATGACCTTAGCCAGTTCAATAACAATTCCTTAATATACTCGTTTACTTACTTTATTTTTATCAAAATATTACTAATATGAAACACAAAAAGGAAACATTTGTCAGTTTTCTCCGGATTGAAACAAACGAATTGAAACTTTTCGAAAAATTAGGAACAGAGGATTCAGCTTTGGACTTACCAGTAGAGCGCGTCAGTATTGTGGCTCATGCAGGCGATGCAACCATTATCTGGAAAGTTCCTGGCAATGGAAGCATCAAGGGCTTGATGGTATTGCCTTGTGAGCTCGACTCTTCCACCTAGCCCACCACCCAGTGTCTCCAAGATACATTGAACGTCCACCTTAACACCGTCTACACCCGCATGCGCCAGATAACTGTGAAGCTCATCGTAGAATTTGTACACCTTCTTCGGGTTCACCAGACCCAGGCCCTTTACCGCCAACGCATCCGTTGTCCACGTCGGTTCATTCTCCACCACCCCCTTCGACAACTTTGGGTATCTCATCTCCGATCCGTATTCCTCCATCTCCTTCACTCCTGGTCGTACGCCTCCCCAGTATCCTGTAATTGCGTGCCATACATACACGTATTGTAATCCATGTTTCTGTTTGGCAATGTTCACTATGTTCTTTATTCCCAATGTTGGATCTTCCTTGTTCTGAAATTTGGGGTTCTCTTTGATTCCTGTTAATCTCTTCAATGAACTGTTCTCGTCTTGCGGATCGCCGCCGACGGATTGCCACCCGTCGTCGATGATCACGAACTTCGGAGGGGTGCCGCCGGCAGCAAGAGTCGCGAGGCCGGACTCTACGCCTTCTTGGGTTACTTCATGGTAAAACGCGTCCCACGTACACCAACCGAAGTAGTCGACGATTCCAGGGAGCTTCTTCTCGTTCCGGAGGCGGAAAGTGTTCAGATGGTTCTTGACTGCTTTAAAGGCGTCGTGGATTGTTCCGAACGGGTCAGTTCCAGCGCTGATGAAGAGGGAGTGGGTGAACGACGACGTTTTAGTGTCGCTGTCGCCGCTTTCCAAACAGAGCTCTAGCTGATCATCTGCGTTGCCTTGTAAACACGCTCTGAATGAGCCTTCGATCAGAGGGAGGAAGACGGTGTAGACGATCTGGTTGTCCTCGTTTCCGTCGTCCGATTCGAGATGGGACCCGTCTTTGGTTTCCACCAATAGGAACTGAGTCTCAAGAGGAATATCCCTTCCTTTATCGCCCATCTTCTGGGCCATCCACCATAGCTTGAACCGGAAACACGCAAGAAAGCGGACGTCCCTGAGAGTTCCCAGTGAAACGACATGGTGGCTGTCGTCTTTATCGAAAGCCGCACCTACAAATACTCCCTCCACCGGCCCCGACGACGACGCCGACGTCTCAACCACATTATCCGGTACGCCGGTCAGGATCGTACGGTCCTTCACAATGAGTTTCCCATCGGAAACCCGAACTGCAGGTTTGATAGTCATTTGTTCTGATTCCGAATCCTCTTTCCTTCTCTTTCTTGTGGAGCTTGAATCCCTCAAGTCTTGGTCCTGTTTGGTGCCCTGCAGCAATTATCAGAAGTTGCTCAAATTAGATTCATGTAAATCTTCCATTTCCAGATTTCTTAAATCACATTTAACAAAAGCATATCAAAATCCATCAAGTATTCACCTGAAAAGCTAAAACCGATAAATTACGGCTGCGAAAATGTCTGCAATTTCCAAAATATGCACAAGAAAAAGCCAATATCCGTCAGCAAACAACCCTTAAAACAAAATAATCCCTACTTTTCCCTGAAACCAAACAAGTTCAACTTCAAAGAGGAGAGCAAATAGAATAGTACCAGAAACTGAGAACTGCAATCGTGCTTGTGAAATTCCGGAGGAGTAATGAAGCCTTGAAGCAAATGTTGATGGCGAAACAATTACAGGTCGGGTATTTATACTAAGAGGGGATGATGCAAGCCGCGAATAGATCATCGTGAAGAAGCCCTGCAGATTTCTTGTGCTTCTCGTCCTAGTTAAGTGGTGACAAGCTCCAAACATCGTGGTTTTCCCACATCCCGTTCGATCCAACGGTAATAAATGACTCTGGGGTCCGCAATTTGTGTTCTTTTACGGCCGATTACGTTGCCACGTGGAACCGCACTTGCTTGTAGCGATTTCGTTTGTGGAATTTTCACGGACCTTCTCCCCCGGTGAGGAATTTTCACGGACCTGACACGCGTAACTTCCCATTGAGATAAAATATCACGTGAATAATCTGCACTGGCCACTAGGGTCTTTGGTCTATGTAAAAATTAATAATAATTAAAAGTGTAAAGCAGGTCGTGCTGATTTGTATCCACGTGAGCACGCCGTTACGTCTATCCGTTTCTTACACGCTGAAAATATCTATCCCCTACAGCCACCGCGTACCTTGCCCAATGATATTTCCACGTCATCACATCATCTTGTTTTTCTGGTCTGATGAGTTTCCCGCTAATTAAAAAGAAAAATATTACGTACGCAAAGCTGA